GAAGTTATGAGCTTTCGCGATGCAGTTACAGTCACCTCACCGTATCTCTCCAAGAAGACACTGTAATCCTCGAAGACCACGATTTTCGTAAAGAGCGTGTTCGAAACCCTCTATAAGCGAAGTTTCCTTACAATTTAAGAGCATGAACATTTTGACCAAAATCCATCGGGCAGCTTCAGAACGTAAAACGAGAAAAAATGAAATTACTCGAACATCTTGGAAAACTTGCTTGTAAGGGTTATCCGATCTGCTGATTACGAAAATCACATCTGCTTAGCAAGAGAGCTTCATATTTTAGAATCGGGAGAATTACGTTGAGAAAAATTTAGAACGACATGATCTTTCCAAAATTCACCAGCCCTTTTAACTCCTATGGAAAGATGCCTGTGATTACTTTTTAGCGCTACGTAATCTACAGAAAAAGTACTATCGAAAGGTCCTCGCTGGAGTCTACTAGGAGCAATGCGCGCTGCTTTACACCTTCACAAAAAGACGTCTACAGAAAGATTTGAGAATATTGAAATTGGAATATCAAGGATATGCTGTATATCGAAAGATTTGCCTTGATGAACTGAGCACAAAGCTTTCTTCGGATTCAGAATATGTTCATTCCGAAGGAAGTTACGGCGAGTAGAATTTAGAAACGCGTGATTTTTTCCAAAATTCACCAACGCTTCTGTCTCTTTTGGGAGACAGTCTGCAGCTACTCTTGAACACACGATAACCTACAAGGACAGTACTATCGAACAGTGCTTACTGGAATCTTTTATATTACACAGACGCTGCGTTACATCCTTGCGAAAAGACCTCCACAGAAAAAATTCGAAAAAACTGGAAATGGAATATCGAGAGCATACTGTATATCAAAATATTTGCCTCGACGATCTGAACACAATGCTGCTTCTGGATTCGGAATTTATTCATTCCGAAGGATGTTATGGCGTTGCGTACTCTGCGTGATTCGCATGGTTTCGCGGATCCTGAAATGTCGCGAACTTCCCGGATTATCGCGCACTTTGGTGGAAATCCCAGAATTCCGCGAAGTTCACGGAAATTTTGACATTCTGTCGCGGTATTGTGATCTTGAGCAGATCTTAGAACAAATTCGATCAGAGTGGCTCTCTACCATACTCCTATAGTGTACTGTCTATGTATCATCAGCGACAGATCAATGGTGATACTGTTATCAGCACACTGAATTCAACCAAAATGATAATCGATAATCTGAAAACTAATATTGTATTCGGAATGCCCATGCTCGATTACCATTGTGATTGTGCAAACTCCCAGCCCCGTAGCTCAAACTTTGCAAAAAAATTGATAAAATCGATAAAAGTAATCGATAATCCCGAAAACTAATATTGTATTCGGAATCCCCATGCTCGATTACCCCCCTATGCAAACTCCCAGCCCCGTAGGTGAACTCTGCAAAAAAATCGATAAAAATCGATAAAATCGATATCGATCGATGACGAAAAGAAGCCTGTGACACCCGCCTGTGCCCGAAGTGTATGTGTGCCAAGTTTGGTCCGGATCGGTTCAGAAATGGATTTTTCTATTCGGAACATACGTACAAACAAACAGACAAAGAGACGTTCAGCTTCATATATAAGATGACGCGTCTCGTCGAGCTGAATCGAACGGTGTCCTCGGATTCAGAGTTCGTCCATTCTGAAGCGAGATATGGCTAAATTGACGATCATTCCGGCGCACTGCGGCGGAGTGTGGCGCACTCTGCCGCACTCCGGCGCATTCTGCCACACTCCGGCGCACTCTGCCACACTCCGGCGCACTGTGGCGAAGTGTGGCGGAGTGCGCCGCAGTCCGGCGACTTTTTTGACGAATTATTAGGTTGGCTAATAAATAAGTTCGGTCGCTTTTTCAGCTCTTACAAATGCTCTAGACAAATTTTTGTCCAATGTTTGTTATCTCTGAAAAGAGCACTTCACTGGGTATTGTAGAATATATTCTGTTTGAGTAAAACTTATCTTCTCAAGAAAAAAGAAGAAAAGAAAGAAGAAGTGAAAAAACGCAATTTTTCCATAATGCGCAAATATGAGGAAATTTGGTTTTCTTGGTGAGACATTTTTAAAATGGCAGATCACAGTTCTTTTTGTTGTTCACTAAATAGGGATAACTCCTCTGTATCCAAGCACCAAACTGCTATTCTTTACATCCATTACAGCATGAAAACGAAGCTCAAGAAGTTAAAGAATTGAGCTTTTGGAAATTTCGCTATGTTGAGGCATAACTGTCTTTACAGACGATAGAAAATCCTGATTATTCGAAATGTGATAGAGGAAACTTCGAACTACTTTCCCACAAAGAATAGTAGATTGAAAACAACAAGAAAATTTTTTATGACAATTTGTATGCCAAAACGAACTTACTTTTTAGCCAACCTAATATGAGCGGTATTGTACATTTCATATGGAAACACTACTTCGACCAAGCACCCATCCCTTGTCGACAAGTACGGTCTATACCTTCAACAAATAAAAAAACCATTTTGGCCCAGACCGTTAGAGAGTATGGAGCGAAGAATTGGAAACTTTCTTACAATTGGAAACTTTCAAGGCAATCACAATGTCATACATACCCTTTGATTCAACTGGCTTGGAGGGTGGAAGGCGGGGCTACGTGATCTAATTGCTAGATAATGATTAGAGAGCATGAGCGCGCGGACGGTGACTGCGTCGCGGGCGCGAGGGGCTTTACCCTATTTCACGCTACAAGGCGCGGGGGATTTTTTTCTAAAATCCGCCAGCCCAAAACGCCACAACACTTTGCGACCAAAGAACCCTATGCCGGGCTCCATATTGCCTGAGAGAATTGAACGGTTTGAGGTTTGTTTCCCAAAACAGGTTGAAGCGGTTGAGCGGCTTGTTTGAAAAATCGAAAAGGTGCACCTTGTACGCGTGAAATTAGGGTAATTAGATCACAAAGCCAGTTGAATCAAAGGTTTCACTGCTGGCCCAAACTATAGATCTCTAAAAAAGGCCTACTCACTCTGTTGTCAATGGATCGATTCAAAATATGGTACAGCCAAGTGTATGTCAGTCTACTATCAGCATTTCAGAGCGGGCCCCTTTCTCGTTCTATACGCGCGACAAAATCAAAAATATTGGAAAAAGCACCTTGGAGGCTGGCCAGAGCCATAGATCCATCCGAGGTTTCTAATCAGCAAAGTACTTCTTGGCTTCAGAAGTTCATCCATGTTGATACATAGCCAAAGTGTAAAACATTCGCTTCAGTTGAGCAGACACCTTCAAAAATGGCTACCTGCCTTTTCAGCTTGAAACCACTGCCAAACGTACACTGATCCTTAAAAATGTGTTTAAATGGGAAATCTCGCATACTCAGCTACTTTGGAAGCGACGGAGTTTTATCTAACTTCCATATGCTTGGCGACGTGAGCATTGAACAAAAAAATCGACTTTTCGCTGTTGAAGCCAATCGAACATCGATCTAACCAAGTCCTGAGCTCGATTTCTGCCTTCTAACTCTTTTGCGTTATGTGACCTCACGATGAAATAGAATCCTTTCTCACTCAAGAAAAAAATCTGTGCATTATATGCACATTTGTTCACAGAATCGTACTTTTCTTCATTTCCACAAGTGCGCAGGGCAATGGACGTTTTGCGCCATTTCAAAATAATTCCCTACCTTTTGAGTTTTCACAAGTATCAACCTACTAATTGGTGAAAAAAGCCTATATGTATGTTACCTCGCAATCCTCTTGATGATTTGGACAGAGCCAGTAACAACTTTGAGGCCTATGTGTAGTCGACAGTTGTAGGATGATTTCAACGATTATGTCTACATGCTGGGATTCTGTATTCTGTAACTATGGTATACCTAACATTTGTACAAACAATGCCTCTACTCCAACTCACGCTCATGATAACATTGAGAACGAATTTGAAGGAAGATACCGAGCTCAGGCCTCGGTTAAGTCGAAATGCGATTCGCAACAGCGAAAAGTCGAATTTTTCCTCGATGCTCACGTTGCTATTAAAGAAGATAGATAAAACTCGCCGCCTAAATCAGATAAGACTCTGCAAGATTTCACACTCAAATACATTTTAAGGATCAAAGTAGTGTAGTATTTCCAAGCTGGAAAAAGCAGGAAGTTCCTCTTGAAGGTCTAGGCTCAACTGAAGCTATGTTTTACACTTTTGACTATGTATCTACATGAAAAATTTTGAAAGCCAAGAAATACTTTGCTGAATAGAGGGTAAATCTAGTTTTGGCCACCTTTAAGCCTGCTGTTTCCAATATTTTTGATTTTTCGTGCGTGTTAAAACGAGAACAGAACTCGCTCTGAAATGATGATAGTAGACTGATATACACACAGCTGTACCATATTTTAAATCGATTCGTTGACAACCAAGTGAGTCAGGCCTTCTTTACGGTACTATGGTTTTGGCCGCACAGTACAATACGAGATGGTATCGCCCATTTATTGACCGCACGGACGCTCAGACGTTGCAGACCACGCCCGGCGCGGCTAAATGTTGCCAGAGCACGACTTGTACAGTGGAGTAGATTTCCCGCTTAATATAGTGCGCTTACACAGACTGTGAAATGCGATAAAATTTGCGCGTAAACAAATAGTTTCGAGCGTGACGCCGGACAATTGCGGGCGCAGAATGCTGGGAGTACTGGCGTGGCTACTTCACGCGCAAATTTTACCGCATTACACCTTCTGTGCAAGCACACTACATTAAGCGGAAAATCTAATCGACTATACATTGGCGTACTGGGGCACTGGGGCAAGTGTTTTACTTCCCGCAGTGATGTCCAATCCGTGTGGTCAACGAGTCAACTATACATACTGCGGGCTCTCTTGAATTTCCATTTAATTCCAGAATCAAGTGACAGCAAAGGATTAACATTCAGAATCATATGAAATTATGTGCTTGTAAAGACACCTTTGTTCAAAAGAAAACATTCAGCAGCTTGATTTATGTGCATTTCCTTGATGTTTTCTTTGGCAGCAACAAAAAGAAGGTGAAGAGAAAAAAGAGAAAGCAGAAGAGAATAAAAGTCTCCAGAATGATGGAGACAAGACAGCGCTGGAAGCAGAGAAGAAAGATGAAAACCAGAAAGGAGATGAGCAGCAACAAAAAGATAAGTCCAATAAAGCGAAGCAAGGAGAAAAGAAGGAGGAAATGGGGGACAAGAACGAAGATAAAGAAGCAGTCAAAAAAGAGGACAAGAGCAAGCCTAAGGGAGAAAATGTGGAAAAGAATGAGGTTAAACAAGAGCAGGAGAGAGAGAAAGACAAGCACGAAGACGTGCCCCCCGGTGAAGTAAAAGACAAGAAAGAAGATGATGGCAAGCCGGATAAACTGGAGACAGAGAAAAAAGATGTCAAAGATCAAGAAGAAAAGAAGTCAGAAAAGGGAGGAGATAACAACCACATCGAAATGAAAGAGGAAGAAACACAAGTAGTAGATCCTGGTGAATCACAAGGAACTCCATCGTTGCACAAGGAAAATGCGAACAATAATTTGACAGGTAAGCTGTTGCAGGGTAGCTCTGGGTTGCAGGTTAGTAGAGTCAAAAAGAGGCGCCTTTTTGTTACTGATTTCTGCAATCAAAAGTGAAATTACTCAGATTTATTTTCAGATGCGGCTCTTACTATTTATCCAAAGGAGATTAGATGGGAATATGAGCAGGGACAGCAGAACATTAGAATAAAAAACGATACAAAGTACCGCTTTGCGTTCAAGTTTAGATGCACGGATAACGCCCTGTACAGGTGCTTTTTGTTTAACTGCTCTTGAAAGCGCTGAAGAATTTCTGTAGTGTGTCTCCCGTAATGGACTTTGTTGACGCTGGTAAATTCGTAAATGTTGCTGTGGTACGAGCAAAAGGACCTTTCAAAAAGGATAAATTTGTAATATGTTCGAAGCAGGTAAGTTCCGGCGGCGAAGCGTCATACTAAAGCGGACGTTTCCGCCGCGCAACATCGCGCGGCTGTGTCGCACTTCAACTAATTCGAGTGAATAACTCGAATAATAATGAAGGATAAAGGATTCGGCGTCTTCAGTACCCTCTGCGGGCATGCGCCGAACGCACACTACTTCATAGTCGAAGAAGCATTTGTATGCGTGCGAGTCTATTACAGTGACTTGCGGGGGCCAGCCGTTACCAAGTCAGTGCTTTTATCCTCCCAGATTACTCTGGTACCAATTTACTAGAGGCCTTGGGGCCGCATGCACTAACATCCCCGCGGGGAGGGGATCGCAAATTAAAAGAAAGCTTTATATTTCGAAACCCCAGATACTTGGATTTCACGTTGTGTACCTATCCGTAAGTATTCCTACTACCCTTCACTATGAACATGTTGAACAGGAGCGAGAAGCTATACGAACCGCATTTTCCAGCTTTTGTATGATCCCTGATGATCCCCGGCGCTTTTCTTCAAAGTCGTTTTTCTTTCTCCGAACTCAACGAAAAACCTCCAAAGTTGTGCAGGTTATCTAAACCAACAGTGCTAAGCATGTTGCTAATAAGAACAAATGATGTTTTGAAGTCATGAAATTTTCGATGATCCACAGGTCGAAATTTGAGGTTTACCGAAAAATTCGACTTTTCAAAAACTCATTTGTTCTAATCAGCAACATGCTTGGCACTGTTGTGTTAGATGTTCAGTACAGCTTTGGAAAGTTTTCGTTAACTTCGGAGAAAGAAAAACGACTTTGAAGAAAAGCGCCGGGGCATCAGGGATCATACAAAAGCTGGAAAATGCGGTTCGTACAGCTTCTCGCTCCTCTTCAACATGTTCATAGTGAAGGGTAGTAGGAATACTTACGGATAGGTACACAACGTGAAATCCAGGTATCTGGAGTTTCGAAATATAAAGCTTTCTTTTAAGCTGCGATCCCCTCCCCAGCGGGGAGGTTAGTGCATGCGGCCCTTGGTTTGCCCAGGGGCGGGGATCGGACCTGTGTCCGATCTGGTCATCGGCGCCTCACACCACTACGCCACTCGTCCCCTAATAACTTGAAAATAAACGCTTTTTTAGTGCTTGCGCATGCAACATCTGTTTCCATGATTATGTTCGGTATTTGATTTCTTGATCAAGTTGTACATATAGTCTGCCCAATCCTAACCAGGCCAAAATTGGCATGGCGGGAGTCCGCGTCTCAAGGGTTTCGCGGTCACGCCCACGGCCTGCTTCTCTGCTCTCTCTCCAATCGTTTTGCTCTCTCCGACAGCGCGCACAGGCAGCGCAGACCGCTAGCGCTGCGAGCGCGCAAATTTACGCCGACGGTTCGGCTTGATCCCGATTGAAGCAGACTGTATGTACAACTTGATACTGTACTGTAACTGCATTGACCGCTGCTCATGAACTATTTTGAATATTGTTGCAGCATATCTCGCTTCGCATGTGACAGAGCATAATAGGCTGTTAGTAATTTAATTTTGTTACACCTTAATTCCTACCGCAGTAAGTCATGATTTTCTCGATTCCCAAGCTTGACGGTACCAGCCGGAAGCAAAGCAAGCTTTACAAAATATGTTAAAATAATCTATGCATCAACTGTTCCAAAAGTCTGAAGTCGCAATCCAGAAGGATCTGATTGCTTAACTGATCAACAAAATATCGGACCTCGACCCAAAGAAATCTTATGAGCGATGCTTGGCCGTTTTCGATAAGTAATTGTATACCAAAAATGTAATCGGGGGTGTCTAGTGGTATAACGGTTTCAACCGGATCGATAGATTACACGGATCGAACGAATAATAATTTATCTCAGAAAACGGCAACGAACAACAAGAAACAAGAATGCGTAACTTGAACGTAAGGCTTAAAAACGAAACAACGGGCTTTACCCTTTTTAACCTCTTCGGCAGGTTGATTGGATGAACTCTATCTAAAGGGGAGGTGCGCCTCTCTTCGGCGGATTAAGCTCCCGCTAGCGCTTCCTCAGCGCAGTCTGAGGCCTCCCCCTGGCTCTCGGTATTTATACCCTGCCGAAGGAGTCAGCGCGGGCTTTTTTTACCGCCACTGAAGATCGGTAGGTCGCTGATCCGCGCCCTCTGACATCCCTCCCCTCCGGGGAGCCGACGTCCTCGGCGGCTGTTGCAACTTGCTGAGCTTTGCGCCGGAAACTCTCCTGCGGATGTCGTTGTCGAGGTAGCGCGCATATCCGTCCCTGAAATGCGTGTCGTATCCCTGAAAAGAATTTTGGGGTCCATCTGCTTCTCTGGTCACGTTCCCAATTTTCTGTCCTTGAGGGAATCAACGTGAACAACTGATCTGAGTTTGCCCATTTCTTCAGTACTGATTCAATCACCGTCCACACTTTTGACTTCGTTTTCCACATACCAATCTTCTTGAACAATGGCGGCCACACGGATACAATCTTTCCTCCTTCTTCGAGGTACTTCTTGCATATCTGCAATGTCTCAATGATAGCCTCATCCTCCCTTCTTGGGTTCGCCATACTATGATCCACCTACGACAGTTCTTCAAGTATTTCAACGCTTCTTTGAGTTGACTGAATGATACTGCCACCTTGATCAGTACTCCACTTTGTTCCAGCTCAAATTCCTCAAATGATGTTGCACATCTCGGTGCAATAAACGCAACGCAATGCAACGTTCGTTCTTAGAACTTTGTCCTTTCTTACTGCTTGTCTTCTGAACTTTGACTCCTTTCTGTGCCTCTCCGCACAATTTTCGATCACTTCTGGAAGGCGTGTGCTTTTTGCTGCCCTTCCTACATGTCGACTTCTTCCACTTGCGCTCACAAGCTTCCCCTGGCCAAACTACTTTGTCTGCCTTGACATCTCTTTTTCTCTCGATGAAAGTTTCCTTGTTGACAGTTACAGATTTGTCCTTCGCTGAGATAGATCTGTTCACAGTTATGGTACCTTGTTGGATCTTCGCTGTTACTGAGGCGGTGTTTCTCTTGTGTGGAGACACGATCCTATCCTTTGCTTTTATTTTGACTTCAGGCTTCTTGTGTATCACTACTTCCACCCCTAGACTCATCAATGCATTTGTGCCAATGAGTACTTCCTCATTCCTATCGTCGGAAACATGAAAAGCCACTTCCTTCTTGCTTCTTCCTTCTAGTTCTACTTCTACTTTTACACCTCCGAGAAAGCTCATCACCTGGTTGCATGCATCGTATGCATCGTATATGCTTCCTTCCACAATGTCGAAAGTCTGAAGTGACTCGACATCGTACCCATTGTTCCTCGCTTCTATAAGCACGCTCATGGGTAGTATACTTATCTCTGAGCCCGTGTCTAGAAGTGTCGAAACCTTTCTTCCCAACATTCTCGCTTGAGTCATTGTCCGTATGCGTCGAATTGTGAGCTCTTTACAACCATGTTCCGGCCCCTACTTATCATTGATGTCACTCCATTCGAAGACTTGATGACGCCTTCATTCTCCGTTTCCCTGTACCTGCAATCTCTCATCACATGTCCGAAATGACTACATTTGAAGCACCTTTTGTCTTCCTGATCCTCACTATAGGCGCTCGAGCTACTCGTTGGCTCCTGCCTTCTCATACCATCTTCCCTTTGGCCTCTCTCTGCTTAGCTGCTTCGACTTTGGGTCATAGCTGGCACATAGCCTTCCTTTCTACTTGCTTTCCTCCAGGACGGAGCTTGCTGTTCACTCCTCCTCTCAAATTTGCAAAATCTTCGCGGCTGTTCGATCTCAATGGATTTCTTTTATCTTATTATACGCCCCGGCTGGGTCCACTTGGTGTAGGATTCCCACCAGTTGTACGTATTCCGGCCATGACGTCAGATTCTCTAGCAGAATCTGTGCATACTCCATCGATCTTTCCTCAATGGTACATTGAGGATCGGCCTTCCTTGCTAGCTTCTCGAGGGCAACACAAAAGTTCGCGACCTCTTGGCCTGGCCTTAAGCGCATGTTCCTTAAGGATGTCAGTGCCTTTAACCTAGCTGCTGTGGAGTCACAAATAAGTAGTGAAGCCATTTCCCTCACTACTCTGTCAAAGCCTTGCTGTCTTACCCCCATGGGTATTGCTCAGAAATAAGGACTTTGCCCTCCCTTCCAAGTGTTCATCACCCAGGACCTCTATCAGCAACTGTTCATCCTTCATCCTGAACCATGGTACCATACTTTCTTTTGAACTTCCGAATGAATCTGTCAAAGTCCTCATCATCACAGAAGAAGACTTGAAGAACTTGAAGACTCCAGGATCAGCAAAAGTCATGCTCTGAAAATAGCTGAGCAACTGATCTTCCACACTTCGATGATTGTCGAGTGGTCCGTCATCCGACCCTCTCAACACACTGCCTGAATGCAGAAGGTTTGACTTCCCTGCGGCACATGAGCGGCATTGCCCCCTGTTCATCATTTCAGTATTCTCACTACCGTCGGTACTTGCATGCAAACCCTCAAGTTTTCTTTCTCCGCATGCATTAACCTGCCGTGACTCAGAAGGTGCAGCTTCCCTCACTGCAACTGCCGTTGCTCTGGGACCTAGTATCTGGTTTAACTCGGCTGTTAGGCTCTCCAACCTACCCAACACTGTGGCTACCTTAGCCTCCAACTCTTCTTCAAGTGGCAATCCATTAGCCGGTATCCTACATCGGCTAAGAACCTTGCTTACCATCCCAGGTAGCATTTCCACTTCTTTTTTGATGATGCTTATCTCTTCCATTATCAGTGTGCTTTTCTCTCATGGATATCATCTGCACATCTTTGCTTCTGATTCATATTCATGAGCATGAACATACCCGGCAGCGAAATGCTTCGCCTTGCCCTTATATTCATCGGTGATCAACGCCGCACGCGAAATCGCTCGATAATGGGATTATGAAGCCAAAGCAATCGATAAAAATTGTATGGCACTTGCTCTGTTTGATATGATAGAGTTCATTTCCAGTTGATCTTAGACTGGGCCTTTTTGGCCTGTTGCGTATGTCACCTCGATATGTACAGATTTCCCACCTTTTTGGTCTTTTGGTTTCGCTTTCTTGGCCTGTTCTACTCGTTCTCTGCTGTTTTGCCTCTGAGAAAGTCATATCAGTTGCCCCGTGTGTATTTCAATCGATCCAGGTATTCTCGGCCCCCATGTAACCGGGGGTGTCTAGTGGTATAACGGTTTCAACCGGATCAATAGACTATACGGATCGAACGACTAATAATTTATCTCAGAAAACGGCAACGAACAACAAGAAACAAGAATGCGTAACTTGAACGTAAGGCTTAACAACGAAACATCGGGCTTTACCCTCTTTGACCTCTTCGGCAGGTTGACTGGATGAACTCTATCTAAGGGGGAGGTCCGCCTCTCTTCGACGGATTAAGCTCCCGCTAGCGCTTCCTCAGCGCAGTCTGAGGTCTCCCCCCTGACTCTCGGTTTTTATACCCTGCCGAAGGAGTCAGCGCGGGCTTTTCTTCCCACCACTGAAGATCGGTAGGTCGGTGATCCGCGCCCTCTGACAAAAACCATTAGAGATAGATCTGTACATCTTAGTTTTTGATTTCAGCACAGAACACCCCAGTAAGGGAAGCCACGAAGCTCTTTCTAGAGAACTAATGCTCAAAGGCTGGCAATTTGCGCTTGTACTTCTGAAGGTTTGCACTGTAAAATGTGGAAGCGGCCTAATATTACATTTGTAAGATCGCAAAATTTTTTATTTTATCCTTTTCCAACCAAAAGAGAATTACAGCAACCGTATATGTGAGTGTCCGAAGTAAAGTGTTTATGCGTGAGCACGTCAGAATTTTCCTAGTATTTTTAAGGGGTTCCGACTTGTTTTTGGATATTCAGTTAAATTCTCTAGGTTTTGGCTTCAAACTTTGCGTGAATCAAAGTTGAAAACATTTGAGCACCATTAAAGCTTGCTTTGCTCTTTGGAACGGTTCTTCTAGAATTAATTAAAAGCTAGAAAACTATGAATGATTTGATAGTCAGATGTAACAATACCTTTGTAACAGTCTAATATATTAAGATGGTCCTAAAATTCTTGCGCATCATTTTCAGAAATTCATAACATCCTTGCGAATCTCGGATTTCCTTAAATTTATTTCCGTTTGAGAGAGCAGTCCATGCTCTTGACTGCAGTACCTCAGCCATGAATTAGTATCAAGAAGTTCGGGACTTAGTGGCAGTTGAAAGAAATCAGTCAAGATTAGCATTTTCAAACTGGGTCAGGAAAGATTCTAAAGTCTTGTTTTGAAAAAGAAACTTTGCACAACAGTAGCACCTTTTCCATGGATTTGTATGGGATGGTCAAAAGTCACGAGCAAATGATGCCAATTTTCGATTTTGCAATTTTTGGCATTCTCAAAAAAGCTTTAACGTCACAAAAAGGTGGAAACATTTATGAACCTGGGTTCTATGAGATCCTCTTTCTAGCTGAGCGAAATTCATGCTAACCAGGAATAGATTTGATTTTCTTGAAAAATGCGCACGACAATCTGAAAAACCGAAAATCAAGTCTGCTTTTAATACGAATTTTGCTCAGCAGAAAGAGGAGCTCATAAAACCCATGTTTATGAATGTTTCGGTCTCTGCTGTGACGTTTGAAGCTTTTTTGAGAATCCCAAAAAACTCAAGTAATACTCTTCATGTGCTTCCAACATTCGAACTATCTTATACTAATCCATGGAAAGGGTGCCACATTGACGTGCAAAATTTTCTCTTACAAACAATATATTTTCAAAAATTTTCGTGACCCAGCTTGAAAAATGCCAATCTTGACTGATTTCATTCGATTGTTGTTTTTAACTCTCGAATCTTCTTATGCTATTTCACCAGAAGCTTATGCTGTAAAGAGCTTGAGGTCGGCTTTCATATAGATTTGCCATTGAAAAAATCCTACGAAGAAGTTATGATTTTTTGATAATAATGCGCAAGAAGTTTCAGATCAACCCAATTCAAGAAATTATATACCCCAAAATCGTACACATAAATCCGCCTTTTTAACCCAGAGTCTGCCCCTATATAACATTCAGATAAGTCCGCCCTGCAGATAAACTCTTTTCCATTACAAATCTTGCCATGAGTTCGAAGACTCTCAGACAAGTAAGGATTGATCTGCAGAGGGACTTATCTGGTGGAAGGCCCCATCTGTGAGATTTTAGGGCATTTCCTATTTTGCCCTATTATTTTGCGGGCTGAACTTGAGCTGATTCAGTGGTGTTTGCCTGTTTTTTTTTTGTTACTAGTTGTTCCACGTGATGCTTCGCTTCTGTGTTGGATGGGCACGCCTTGTGCGTACCAAATAGGTAAATAAACGAATAAATTTCCACACGCTTTCTTGCTGCACTGCTTTGATTTGCATTGTATAGAAGCGTGGAAAAAATAAATATTAAAATAGGTTGCAAGGTAAGAAGTGAATAGAGTATTTGCAACGCGTACACGAGATTCAGCCAAGCTCTTTGAATTAGCCATAAGTTTGTGAAAGAGCGACGTCTTGCGCGATAGGCGCTGTGGTATAACGTCCATCCTCCCCTTTCTCTGTCAATAAACACTGTGATAAAAAAGAGCTACTCAGGTGTCTGAAGATGAGAAGGATGCCTATGCGGTGTTTAAAACTGGCACACCTCATATAGATACTGTCTCCATGGATCAGCTTGTGAGAGCATAGAGAAAGAAGAAGTATAGATCTTGTCAAGAATTTAACTCAGTTGCCAAACAATAATGAAAATAAAAGATAAACATTCGATTTTTTCTCGTTTCATCGTAGGAATAGTTGTGCATGGTTATCGGTAGTCGTCATTATGCTGTGTTTAACTGACATAGGCTTCATGAAATAAAATAAACACTGTGGCACTAAGACTTTCTATACACTTGAGCATGACTCCCTTCTGGAAAAAATGGTTTTTTGTACCGTAAATCGGTGCTAGTCAACATCTGTGCTCTCGTTTCAGCAGTACAGATCCGAGGCTTGCCAGAAAACAGTTGAATTTTCTCTCAAATCACAGATTTCAGTCGCTTATTTCTCCATTCGGCTTCAACTCCCTTGCAGTCCCTGTGTTCTCTCTTCCACTGTGGCTGATAGCGAAGTGACCAATACATTCACCATAGGCAGCATAGTGTGTTGATTATTTAGAATTACGGATTGTAACAAAGCCCAAAGTTCTGGTTCCCAACAAAAATATTAAGAGGGATGAGGTTGTACTTCTCACCACCTTCAGTGAAAATCGCTGTCGTTGTCAATGTCGCTCATAGATTTAGAAACAATAAGTTAAATGCTCTTTTGTCTTTGAATCTGGGCATGATGAGATGTCAGTAGAGTAATTTGTCAGTAGTTTGTGCCTTCAGATTCTGTGGTGGAGAGTTTATTGACCGCACAAACTACTGACGCAATTACTTTACTGATTCAGAAACACTTTCTTGGCACTGCGTGAAAGAGTTCTCCATCAGTTTTCAAGCCGTTTCTTAGGCTTTACGTATTTCAAAGTATTACGCCTAAGTTTGTTTTTCATATTGTTCATTGTATAAAAAACAGAGGCTTTGAGTATCAATCTCCAGACAGATCAAAGTTCTTGGGTCTTTGAAAACAGTTCGAGCAGGTAGAGGCGCGCGCGCCTGCCATGTATGAGCTGAGGTTCCTATTTAGGCGAAAACTTGACCGTGTGAGGTCGAGTATGTCAGCAAGGATTGAAGCATACCAAATGCGCCTGCAGACTCCAACTAAACATTCCTCACGTCTCTTTGCAATGTGTAGAGTACAATTCGCGCATGTTTCTTCTTCAACAACAGCGTAAGTTGTATTTATGTAATTCTTATATCTAAACAATAAAATTTTTTATGAAGATGAGCTGTCGTGTGCAGTCTCATGTACAAGGTAACATCTTGCACTTTAAACTTGGCGTGCATGTTTTTGAGAGTGTTATCAACTTTGATGATGTAAGGTATACATTAAGATGATGAATTCAGTGAGTCAACGTCCTTTATTTTATTTTATTTTAATTTATGCAATACGCTCTTGGCGTTCCTTAAAACAAATAAACGAAAACCTGCAGTAGTCACTCATACTCTTATCACGAAGTTCATCAGGTAATTTGGGTCCAACCTTTTGGACTAAATTATAAAAAGTGTTATGAAGGCTTGTATGTTACTGCTCTACGACTGCAGTTGACAGAATTGAATTAGTATGATTTATAGAGATGGTTATAGAGACCCATGCCCCTTTTTTACCAGCAAAACGATTTTGATTCTAAATAGCAAACGGTTTAATAGTGAATATACTGCCCAATCTGGATAAACCAGTATGTTAAGGAGAGTGCAGTGACTCTAAATGGACAGCAGTAAGGATTGTAGTGAATGCATAACTTATATGGAGTGGGAAGATCAAACTAAGCTAATGTAATCTATGGAGTGGTAAGCATACCAACTCGTCCAGCGGGAAATGGTCTCAATAAAAAAGCAAAGCATGGCTCGTTGGCAATAATAGTGTCCGGGGAGGGTCCAATGACTCTGAGAGAATATCATAAGTTTCACTTTTTATTATTGTATTTTGCTGCATGCAATGGTATGCAGCTTCATCAATTGGGCCCCTTAGACTTCTGACCATTCTTAAATAGTAAAGTAATGCAATCCCGGGACGAAGCGGCGGTTCACTAACCAACGTCATGTCTGCCTGAATCTACGAGCCAAACATTCGCAATCTTGGCAGGATAGTGCGTCGTATAGGATCTTGGAGGGAAGATGGGTCTCCATTTGTCGCGGAAAAGACAAAAGTTGAACAGAGCAAAAGTTGTAAGGCCAATGGACGCAACACTGACACCTAAAGAAGTTAAGAAATTATTTTCGTATTCGACGACTCTTCGATATTTTTCCCGCCCATCTACACTCCTCTTCAACTCTAAACCCAACTGATATAAAATTTTATATACTCATTTCTTATCATATCGAAATTGTTATCAAGTAAGCATGCAACTGACTATAAAGTTGGTTTTATAAAGTTTATTGCAAAAGGAGAAAGGAGGCGCTTGCTGACGATGGACACGCAGTACTCCATCTTCAGGGGCAGTATTCATCAATTTCTGTATAGGAAGGGGTCCCCTACAGGTAGCAGCCCATACAGGCGCGGGTACTGGCGCCCGCGGTATATGAAGCCAAGCTGGTGAACGGGCTCCTTTCTATTGAAGAATATGGTCCGATGTGGAAAGTGTGGCCATATCGGGCACGGCAGTCGGGCAGCAGTTCCCCATCTGGACGAGTCGGGCGGCCCTGCCCGTTTGAACCGCGCTTCCCAGACTTTCATAAATCGCGAGAAGGGCGCTCTCGCCTGTGCGGGCTCTCGTTAACAATGGCCCGTACAGCGAGTGGGAGATTGATAAATATCGCTCCAGAGAATGAGATGCTGCTTCCCGAACGGGTAAGCGCCCACGAACTTCGAGCACGTCGAGGGCCTCCTTACGGGCGGTCAGACACTTTCCATGGAAAATTTTCGATCTCGAATTAGAAGCATGATACATACGCTTTCAGACCGCATTGCACAAACTCATTCAGATTCGTTCGAAGAACTTTGATTCTCCACTGCGGTAGAACCTCAAAAATTGAGTTGTTGGATTATGTACCCTTTCATCTCCAAAAATTCCGGAAGTTTCGTAGATTTTTCTATTACTTTGCACCACTGGCTGCCTTTGCCGATCTGATGTTTCAAGCCAAGCGGGTTCTACCCGAAAAATGCACATTCAGCAATTTTACGAGTGTTTCGCATACTTATTGTTAGACATACACCCACAATTTCATACTGTCTATCATCTTTCAGTGTATTTTAGTATTGTCTCTCCTATGTGGTATCATCATACCTCCTAGCTCCTAAGCAAGAAGTAAGAATTTTGTGCAGTTTGATAAAACTTCAAAAATTTTCTTCCCAATCGCACTGGGTAAAATCGCTGACAAGAGCTTTAAAAAATTTCTAGATTCTCTCAAAAACTTTCTATGGTCAAAATCAATGAAATCTAGAATGATAACGATACCACAACCCGCATAGATTACTATGGTAAAAAGCGATTGTATTCATAGCGAAGTGAGATGATCCCAACCGCCATTTCGAACGGAACAACCGACGATTGTTTTTCCACATGCTTTCTTTCATGAATTTGGAATGCCGACAAAGAAGATTTATTACGTAAAAATCTTACTATCATGAATTCTGAAAGGCGATGATGCTCCATCGTGTCGGCCACTGCTGGATATGCCCAAAAACGAGCAATACCCAAAAAATAGGTGACGTTATGAATAGAGCTAGGCAGTTCAATGTAAAAGGCCTGCTTAGAAACAGAGTGAACTTGGCCAAGGCCTGGCAAACGTTGTGATACTAAACAAATGACTACTATAGGAGACACGACAACACAAATTTTTTTGTGAATTTAGCGTTTACTATTTTTTTTCGAAATTTTCACTTGACTGTACAGCACATACACGAACACAAACACAATATGTACACAAATCTACAAGATGCTAAGTCGCACTGGTATACAAAAAGCTATGCATATAAAGACTATAAGGGGTAGTGCACTGCACAACACTAATTACAAAACTATATACAGATGCGAGGGCTTCCAGGTCAGATGCTTCGCTTGATTAACTCGATTGTTTTCTGCACAGCAGAATTCAGCGACTCAACGCAATCAGCGAAGTTCGACCTGAAGAGTAAATGCTATGAAAAATAATACCTAAATACATGAATGCAAATGAAATTTATACCTTTTATATACAACTGTAGTTATCACGTCTTCATATAAGCGAAGAAGTTGGCACAAGTTGGCTCTGATAACAGCCCGATCGCTGAGATCTTTTTCCATATGTACCCATGCCGTTCCGTATTCCACTATGTACAATACCTAAAAAGAACAAAATCTCCTTAAAAGTTTGCACACTGCGTGTGTGCATGTTTGTCCCTCTGTAGTTTTATGCTTGACATAGATATAATCAGATACGAGACTTCTGGGATGTATTGGCTAGAAACACGAATGATTTTATTCAACAAAAGTCAAATAAAAATCGACAACCACTTTGTAAAAATTATCCAAATAAATAATTCTAATTTTATACCATTAGTGGACTACTAATCTAAAGGTGCTATTTGGAAGAGCGTTCGTTTCGGGACCACCATGTGCTTAGGCGATTTGCCGATTTTTGAACTGAGCTAACGATTCTTTATATATTAGATTAGATAGACTAGTGAACCAGTAATCTAAAGGTGCTATTTGCAGAGCGTTCGCTGCGGGACCCGGCCGCGGTCTCCCGCTATTTGCAAATTTTTGAATTGCGTTTACGTTTCTTTATATATTAGATAGATTCGACGAAAAACTCATTTATAATGAGCCAACTACTTAGGTCTGCCCAAAAGTTTTGTTTTACACCACAAAGCGCCCGCGCTCTTCCTCCATTCTCTCCCAACACTCCTATACCGCAGAGCCGGTCACTGTATTTTTTGAGAAAAAGATTCTAAAGGTATAATGCTAAAATATTTGACCTAACGACACTGCCAAGTCTGACTATGATAAGAGAATGTGGTATGGTGATGCTTATGATTTCATTTTCTTTGCTGGACAGCACCAGACTTTACCAAATAGCTTTGAACCTAAATATGTCAAGAATGAAACTTTACCATTTGTCTAATTTCTCTCAGCTTTTCAAATTCCGCAGAAGTTCCTTTCAGTTCGCGACTTGCTTTCTCCAATTCATTCCACTTGCTGCTGTCAAAGCGATAGTTGCGAGCTTTGGTGCAAATCTGGAATTATTGAATTCAGGAGTTTTTTTTCTGGGGAAGGGGAGGAGGGTGGGAATGTGAAAGTGAAAGCGGAAAAGCTAAAAACAAACCTCCACGACTTCTTTCTTGATGCGAGGGACATACTCATTAGGGAGAATTCGGTCGCTCAACACAATGTACTGGAATAGAGGATGTAAGACTGGACAGAAGAATAAGCAAGTATTGCCAACGAAGGCTCGTATGTACCTTGTCTGGCCTGCTGCAAGGACGTCCGTAGGTGGTCATAGTGTACATGTTCTGAGGATTGAATCCAATACCACAGTTTTTACATTCAGCGAAATTATCCAGCTCTCCAAACTGAAAGGAACTTGATTGATCTTGCACTTGTGAATCTCGAAGAATTAACACTAAGTCTAAAGAACGGCGGCAAAATCAGTTTCATTTTCTGTTGGAAATAGTTGATTGAAATCATGATTTTGCGGTTTAAACTTATTGTGTGACAACACGCAAACTGTTTCGGTCACCGTTTCAAAATGCACTTTATGTAAATCGACCGTAATACAATGCAAGGAAACTCCATAAAAGAGACTTTTGAAAGCGAAAGCTTACCACAATAGGAGGGCCAAGACATCTGCAAGTGACTTCTCTGAGACGCTGAGATTTATCGAGATCTAGAAAAAGGAGCTATGATGAGTGGATGTATTAGGTTGTAGTATAAGTCTTGAGACACTCTTAATTCTTACGGCGATAAGGCAGAGATTCACATTTTCAATAAAGTTCCAGAACACCATTCGATAGAGCAAAGCAAGCTCTACAAGATGGTATGCAGAAGTTTGCCCAACTTCGAGCCACTACGTTTGCATCCAAAACCTGATTCGTACTGAAGCCTCAAAAAATAGCGAAAATTCATATTTGTTCAAAAAAAATCCTACGGATCCCCAACTTGCTCATAAAAATTGCACACTACATCAGACACTCATATGTGCCGTTCCTGGATTTTTTCGTCGTTTCAAGATTGAGAAAACCAAAATTTTCATGTTTTTACAAAAACGAAGCTATGCTGTGTTCACTCATGTAATTGTATACTACGAGCCCTTAGGAGTATAACCGTAGATTTCCACTTATCCACAGGCCTTAGTTTTCGAAAACTATCAAATTCGGCTTTCCTCACTAGAATGTTCCAATGTGAAATTTGATTCTTCTCGAAAATTAGGGCTTGTAGAAAGCTGATTTCCGGTTATACTCCTAAGGGCTTGTAGCCTACAATTACATGAGCGAAAACAACATAGTTCCGTTTTTGTATAAACATGAAAATTTTGATTTCCTCAATTTTGAAACGAAGAAAAAATCCAGGAACGGTACATATGAGTGTCTGATCTAGTGTGCAATTTTTATGAGCAAGTTGGAAATTCGCAGGATTTTTTCGAACAAAGACAAGAATTTTTCGCGATTTTCTGAGGCTTCAGTACGACTCAAATTTGGGATGCAAAATTACAGGGGGTTTAAGTTCGAAAATTCGTTCTCTTTTATAACTGTGTTTTTTCTGCGCTTGTTTGCTGCCATTTTTTATCCGATTCTCTGTCGGAATTTTTTTTGTCATTCGACTTGTCCGTTGCTGATCGATTTTTTCTATCAGTGCCTCTTTTGAATTGATTGATCAAAAACAAATAATGGCACCTAAAACTAGGAAGAGCGCATCTGGAACCCAGTCAGCTTATAGGACTGTCGATGCTGGGAGTTACACCTGTGATTCTGAGTTTTCAAGTCTGTCCATTGCAGACTTGATAACTGGGATCAAGGATAGAAACAATGACCCCGTAATCGATAGACTTTTGAGTGCCGTGTGTGAGAAACTACCGATGGCGGCTCGCGGTGATATCGATTCGAAGAAACGGAGTCAAAGCATCGTGATAAGTGGCATCCCTGAAGCGGATGGGCAGCTTTAGTTTCATCGAGGTGTCTTCAGCCAGAAAACACCGTTGGTGAAGTACTGGATATTATAGTTGAATGCAGGCCTATCGAGTTGTATCGATTAGGAAAGCCTATCCCTTCCCGCCCCAGGCTGGTGAAGTGTGTTTTCCCTTCTCAATACTACTAAAAGCTTGCACTGTCCAATGCTCGGCTGCTTAGAAATAGTAGCTACTCTAACAGATACGTTAGACGGAGCATGACGACAGAAGAAAGGGCTCGAAACTCTGCTCTCAGGCAACAAGCCCGAGAGCGTATTAAGGCTGCGTTCATACTGATTACGAAATCCGGGAACAGTTCCAGCACAATGCTCAAACTGAGCGTTGTGCTGGGACTGTTTCCGGATTTCGTAATCAGTATGAACGCAGCCTTAGGGCATGGCCACCCGTGAGTGGGTGGTATATCTTGATTGATGGGTGATTTGGTTCACGTACCCAAGCTTCCTCGTAGAAACTCAGAAAACTTCTGAAATGGCATGGTATGACTGACTCTCTGCAGATATCACTTATGAGCTCCCGTAGTCTTGTAAACAAATTGAACCTTTTGCACGCCTTCATTTACGAACATAAACCAGATATGATTTTTGTTACTGAATCATGGCTCAATGCAAGAACACTTGACTCTGAAATTGTAGCTGGTATGCCTTATATTTTGCATAGAATTGATCGAAAGAATCGCAGAGGTGGAGGCGTCTGTTGCCTTGTAAAAGGTAACATGATATCAAGACCAACATTCAGTTGAATTTGCTGTCAGCTGTGCTGATTGTTACTATTGTGAACCAACAACCTTACGTTTACGATTTATTGCGATATACCATACCGCCCACCTTCCTCTGGTAGAGATGATGATGATAAGTTGCTGGATATGATAAGCGCCTACGCTTACGCTTCCGATCATGATGAAACTATAATTCTTGGTGATTTCGATCTACAAATAGATTGGGTGACAATGAAAGCTGCCAATAGTATTCTTCGTCCTTTTTGAACTACTTTCAAATCAACAGCGTTGAGCAATTCGTTCCTTGTCCTACGTACGGTGACCATGTCCTTGATTTGGTTCTCTCTCCTGCCACCCAGATTACAAATGTAAACGTTCTCCCACCACTTGGCTATTCGAATCATGGGATAGTTCAGTTTGAAATCATGGGGCGTGGGGCGTGGGTTTGCCATCTCTTCCATTACCAGATTTTTCTAGAGTGGCTTACAAGGCACTGAACGAATTTCTTTCGAATATTGATTGGCTTGCACAGTTCAATCAATATGAGACATCCTCGGAAGTTTACCGTAGATTTTGCAAGATAATCTATTCCGCCCTTGCCATGTTTATTACGATGAGATATTCACATGAAACGGTTATGAATTTACCGTCTCATATATTTGCATGGAATATGCAAAAATGTCGCCTTTTTAATAGATTGCATGATCCATTGCACCATCCTTTGTACAAGAAAGTGTGCCAAAATATTGAATTTCATATGGAAAAATTTCTTGCTAATCGTGAGCGATGTCTTGCAACAAAAGTATAGGCTCGAAAACTGTATCGGTATATCAATTCAAAAATAAAACCCAGTGCCACACTTCCTACTCTTGCAGATCTGTCGGGAATTTCTCATTTTACTGATGCTGATAAAGCCAGATCCTAAGCACTTACTTTGTGTTTTTACTAATAATAATGATGATCATGAATTCCCTGCACCTGGCAATACTGCAATGCCAAAGAGCAATTGTAGTTGTGTATATTTTGAGCCATATGAAGTCTTCAAGTTTCTGAGGAAGCTAAAGTCGTCCACCACAGAAACTTATGATGGCATCCCTCCCATTGTTTATAAAATATGTGCAGCTTCTTTGTCGATTCCGCTGGCACACATTTTCAGAATCTCTATGCTATTAGGTGAGGTGCCGGACTTATGGAAGCATGCCCTGGAGACTGCCATCCCAAAGATCCAAGGAGCTATGCTGATTAGTGATTTTCGACCAATTAGTCTTCTACCAGCGTCATCTAAAGTCATGGAAAGAATTATAAGAGATAGACTGTTGTCATGGCTTAACAAAACGCATGTGATCCCACCTGGGCAGCATGGCTTCACTAGCGGTGCCTCTACTACGACTAACCTTGTTGATAGTACCTACGACTGGATGCTAGCTTTGAACCACCGAAAGTCTGTAGATGTGCTTTATATTGATCTGTCTAAAGCATTTGCCAAAGTCAGCCACGGTAAACTGCCACTCAAGTTGAAGGCACTAGGAAAGACGGCTCTTTGCTCGACTGGTTTGCCTCATATCTGCACAATCGCTTTATGAAAGTCAAGGTTCGTAATGAATTTTCGAATGCATATAGTTGTGCAAGTGGTGTTCCGCAAGGGGCAGTGTTGTCGCCTCTACTTTTTCTAATATATACACTCGATCTACCTCGAAGACTTCAAACCTACTATAATATAAAAGTGCAGATGTATGCTGATGATATCAAAATATAAGGTATCTATAGTCTTGAAGATCAATTGCAGGTTCAATCAGCATTGCAACAGTCGCTTACACAGTTGGTCACTTAGGCTGATCAATAGAATTTACCACTCAATCTTAGTAAAAGCTTTGTTCTGCATATGGGTGACCTGTTTGAGGCACTTATGTAGTTGGTGGCACTGCTTTGAGGGTGTGTTGCTCAGCTAGAGATTTAGGAGTGATCAATGATTCAAGACTAAGATTTACTGAGCAGGTGGACGCTATTGTAAAGAGAGCTTACTCTTCTTTATTCTTACTTTTCCGAAGTGTAAAAACTAACTCTCCTGTTCTTTTGACGTGTCTTTATAAGACTCTTGTTCGTCCACACCTGGAATATTGCGTGGAACCCTACTAGCAGGAAGGACATTTGTAAGCTTGAAAAGGTACAAAAAACCTTTATACGTCTTTTGTATAAACGCGTTTCTCCCAATAGTGTCCCACCTGCTTATAGTATACGGTTAAAAAAGCTTACTCTTCAGAGTCTTTCTTATCGCCATAAAATTTCTGATCTTGTTTTTTGTTTCCATGTGCTCAGAGGGGAGATCAGACCAAAAGCTAGTAAGTACTGGATATTTACGCCAGCTAGTCAAAGGTTGGGAGGTTTCAACTTACATTATGCCAAGATCATGAAACCAACAGGAAGAAAATGTACAACAACATATTTTATTGATCTGCTCGTTGGTTTCAGCTTCTACCTATGGACATAATTACCCTATTTTCAGGTGTATAAGCCGCACTTTTTCAAATTTTCGCCCGGGCTGCTCAGCCGCTTCATTGTGTTTCGAAAAGCGATCCTTATGCCGTACGACTCTTTCACTCGATACACACCACGGCGTAGGGTCTTTTGGTTGCGGGGTCCTTTGATGTATTCGGGCTGGTCGATTTAAGCTAGGACCACCCCGCGGCTTATACACCTGAAAATAGGGTAGTTGATCCAGTGTGCGATCCTTTAGGGATATGTTAACCAGAGCTGACAGTCATCTTCTACCTTTTTAATTGAAGTTTTCATTAATCTGGTATGTTTTCAGTTTCGTTCTTGTCGTTTTCTAATGGTCATGGCTACGTTTTTCTGCTATTGTGGACTATCGCTCGATGCTTTGGCTTAGTAGTGTAGGGCGGATATAGCATTTTCTCTTACTCGTGATAGATTATGGCGGTGTTTTGCTACTGTGTTGCGTTTCTTTCGTTACTAATCGCTTATTTATAGAGGGGCCACTTCGTCCTACTCTATATTGATTCTTTTGGATTGAGATCCTTTTTTTATCAAGGATTCTACTTGAAATAGGTCTGTTAAAGGCTTGGGGAGTTAGGTTGGTGGATACCTAGCTAAACCAATACCCTCGCTTAAACCGCTCCGATTATCCTTGAGCGATAGCAGTCCCCACTGCTAATCACCTGGCATTCCAATTCATATATAGCCGTATAATCTACTCGCATTTGCATGCATCTTTTTTCGTTGTTGTGAGTACACTATCCCGTGCTTTCTTTTGCTTAAATCATCGAAGTACGAGCTTTCTTTGTTGTTCTTTAAATGTCTAGGACGACTGGCCCCACGCTAACAGTTTTTTTCATGATTCAAGTGATACACCTTGAGTGTAAAGATAAAAATATAGATAAAGATAAAGATAAGTTGGTGCAAGTTTTGCAGGGCACCTTGTAGAGCTTTTGCTGTATTAAACGGTGTCCTGGACCTTTATTGGAAACGTGAACTTTATGACTTATCGCCGTAAGAAGTGAGGGTGTCTCAAGGCTTATGTTACAACCTAATAGATCAGTCGCAAAAAATGGTCACATCCCCATAAGTATGGAATACTGAGCGTGACTATAGCAGTTTCTTGATAGATATTAATCCATACCTTGCTGAAGCCAACGCTTCGCCCATTCAGAAGCGGTATCACACGACATCGGCCAATGCGGTTCCTTTTTGCATTCTGAACACCAAACCACTCCACACTCGCAGTGCACACAGCCGAGTTCTGCAAGAAAGTAAGGAATAAAGTTCTGTTCTTTGCAGATTAGTAGACCTGCTTACCGTTGGATTGGTTGATTTCAACCGCTTGATTGCATCCAGGGCACTCTCCGAGATCGGTATCCTCGTCTAACGACAGTTCGATCAACTCCAGGGCCGCTAGCTGGAAAGGATGTTGGTTGATTTGTACCTCTCAATGTAGTTACTTTGTTTTTACCTTCGTGTAAAAGTTGAAAAGGCGAAGAGGAAGAATGGATGGGAGAACATCGTAAGAGGTAGTTCCAGGTGGGACGACCAGCTGAAAAAAGTGTGATAGTTATGGCTACCATGAGGCCTTATAGCGGACGGACTACCTCATATAAAATGAAAGAAACTATTTGAAATGAAGTTGTATCAAACTCACACCAATATACTACTAACATTCTCAAAGGAGAATGTTTGTTTTAGAGAGTACGAAGCAAGATATGAGGGCCCCTTAAGTCAGCAAAAAGGTAAAGGCGATATTTTTGCGACGAAAAATGCCAATCACCATGCTACTCCCTGCTTTTCAGAAGTGATGAAAATGATATAAGTGTATAAAAATGGCTTGCCAGATATTGATCCTTGCAGATGAAAAATGTCGTTCACTATACCTTCCTCTTCAAAACTCACCGTCAAGCGGATGGGAAGGCATTTGACTCGGATCTGGTTGATGGCCACCTGCTTTAGACAATCTCTGCACATCCAGCAATCGTCCAGCTCGAACATGTCGTTAGTGTTGGTGGTTGCACAAGTGCCACACTTCTGAAGAAAGATGTAGAGCATCAGATGATGGACTTAACAACTACTATTCTATTTCGAGCGCTTACCACTCCAGCAGGCAGAGTGGGCAAGTTGTCAAATTGACTGGTCTTCCCAACGTCTTCCAACTCGCTCTCGAAATCGTCTTGCTCAACTTTTTCGAAGGTGTCGGCCTCCAGATGCTCACACTCTTCACGAAGGAGACTGGCCATACGTTCAAAGGTCACACGACGGACCTGAAAACGTCGACTGAAATACATTCCGGGAATATCGCCATTCATACCGGCTGAGAAAATGCTGCAACATTGTACTGAGGAAGGTATTCTTTACGCTGCTTCAGCCTTGTCTTGTCTGTCGTGTCCTCAATATCACTGAAAAATCCCATATCTCAGATTATTCTAAAAAATTCTGATATACGGTCTCACAAAAAATTTTAAGCGTTGCAGTCACTGCGCAACAATATGTAAACTTTTTTCTATACTCCGAAGGTTTTCCGTTCTTATAAAAGAATACTGAATCTCGCAACACAAAAAGACGAAGCAACTCATCAAGGAGTTTTCATCTTATATATAAAGCTGAATGTCTGTTTGTCTGTATGTCTGTATGTCTGTATGTACGTATGTTCCGAATAGAAAATTCCATTTCTGAACCGATCCGGACCAAACTTGTCACACATACACTACGGGCCCCAGCGGGTGTCATAGGCTACTTTTCGTCATCGATCGATATCGATTTTATCGATTTTTATCGATTTTTTTGCTGAGTTCACCTACGGGGCTGGGAGTTGGCACAGGGGGGTAATCGAGCATGGGGATTCCGAATACAATATTGGTTTTCAGGATTATCGATTACTTTTATCGATTTTATCGATTTTTTGCAAAGTTTGAGCTACGGGGCTGGGAGTTCGCACAGGGGGGTAATCGAGCATGGGGATTCCGAATACAATATTGGTTTTCGGAATTATCGATTACTTTTATCGATTTTATCGATTTTTTTGCAAAGTTTGAGCTAGGGGGCTGGGAGTTGGCACAGGGGGGTAATCGAGCATGCTGATCATCCCCAAGGGGGGTGATCAGCATGCTCGATTACACCCCCCTGCCAAATTCCAGCCCCCTAGCTCAAATTTTCAAAAAATCGATAAAATCGATAAAAGTAATGGACGATCTTGAAAACTAATATTGTATTCGTAATCAGCATGCTCGATTACCCCCCTGTGTTCGTAATCAGCATGCTCGATTACCCCCCTGTGCAAAATCCCAGCCTCGCATGTCAAAATTTACAAAAAATCGATAAAATCAATAAAAGTAATCGATAATTCTGAAAACTAATATTGTATTCGGAATCTCCATGCTCGCTTCCCCCCCTGTGCCAACTCCTAGCCCTGTAGGTGAACTCTGCAAAAAAATCGATAAAAATCGGTAAAATCGACATCGGTCGATAACGAAAAGTGGACTGTGACACCCGCCAGGGCCCGAAGTGTATGTGTGCCAAGTTTGGTCCGGATACGGCGGAGCCGGGTAAGCCAGCTAGTATCATTATATTAGGTATTGAACTATTTTCGGTATCGAACTTTGACCAGCATTTGCATAAATACGACAGTGAGGGATCTATTCTTTGACCAAGCTGACTTCAGCCTAAATTTTTTTTTATTATTTTTGATCGACTGACTTTACTGGCCTGTAAATTCACGTCAGATTTTGAATGGAAACTGCACTGCAAAAAACCCTATTGCGGAACCTCACACTTGATAAATTTATGATTCACGAGCGGACTACTTTATCTCCACGGAATCGTATTTTCGCATCCTACTCCGCACTGTGACAGCAATGACGGTCAAAAAACTGTTCAGTAATATTGGGAAGCATATAACTAGATTTACGCTTGTAGATCTTGCAAGTTTTCTCCAGTAATGTGCTAAAGCAAAAATGATAGAGGAAAGGAGTGGGCACAACGGGGTTCATATAAAATTTGCGCTCATGCTTTGCGGTTTCTCTCAAAAAAACCTCCGAAAAATCAGCCCGAAAATAATAAAATAAAAATTTGAATATGACGCCCTATTACTGCTATCCAGACCGTTTTGCAAGAACGGGAGAGCATTTGATTAGTTTGAGTCTACATGCCATACTGTAAGAGAGGTTCTGGTGAGTGCAACTAGATGTCGAAACTCCATTCTTGAGACCCAGATGAAATCTATAAGTAACAAAGCTGTATACTCACTGCTTACACCATTTCAATGGCAGTGCAACCGTCTCCGTAACAAGACTAGGGATATCGTGTACGTTCTTATCGCTCAGACATTTCTTGAACGTTTTCCAGTCGAACTCCTGCGGATGCGAGAAGGTGGTATTGAGAAGAATCCTGAGAACAAAAGATCTCCTTCAGCTCTCAGCCTGGAAAATACTACCAACGTACCTGAGGTAGTGCCAGTTCTTATTTCGACAACGCTCGATCGTCAACATCGCGATTCGCGCGCCTTCGTATTCTCGATCGCAGGTGAAGGCCGAAGTGACATCTACCAGAACCCTCTGGTAGTTCAAGTCGAGCCAGCGGACGACGTACTTTTCGCGAAGCGATTCAACCTGCAACAGATAGTTTTATTATACAAGAATGGGTGACGCTGATCGGACCATGAACAAACCTGGTCCAGGAAGTTGAACTCCTTCCAGTTGTCCGTGTAAATGTGCGCGAACTCGAAAGTTGCCGGCGCGCGAAGAACGGAGCTGAGATCTACGAGCTCAAATGGTTTCGTCTCCGACTCGGGGAGCTCCTGAGTATGACATAATGTTCTACGAACAGTTTGCTTCAGTTTGAGTTGCCACTACTCAGGGTGTCACCAAAAATGAACCTACTGTTTGCTTGTTGGTTGCTTGTCTCATTGAGTCTTTCGAGGAGCTTTAGGTATCATTTTGTAGAGCTGGCTTCCACTTAGACTTACGGTATGGTGAGGAATACCGCTGTCTCTTCATTACGGTAATATTACGGTGATATTTGAGCGGGGTTTTGCGTCAAGGGTCATATTACCCCTAAAAAAGGACTGAAGGAGCTGAAAACTCCTACATTAGGTAAACCGGAGTCGCTGGTTTCATTTATGAAACTCGCACTTCACCGTAACGTTCTTCTCGTAAGTTATGCCAGATATACCGCAACAACCGATCATACTCTATAATAAAGCGCAGGGGGGACCATGTGACTCATGCGTTTGTCGCTATGTCTCGAATGCACCCATTGCACCCACGATGTCTGCCTTCCGAGATGTTGACTGGAACGCCCTTTCGTGCTCAACTCCATAAACAGTATTATCGATTAGCATTATTGTCACCAAGTAACAGCTCGCTTCAATTCAATTAGCGCATTCAGATGTGTCAACTTTGGTATCAGTTTATTTTAGTTGCCAATTTCTATAACTTAATTGTACAAAAGCACTGCTTTACAAAGTTGTAAGTGGTGCAACAGAAATCCCAGATTTTCCCTCTTGAAAGTGCTCGATTTTGATACACCAACGGCCACATTTTTAGCATTTGTTTAACATTTCATATTTGAGCAAAATAGTGGGATTCTGGCCGCATTGTAACTAAAGGGAGTGTGACAGGCTAGAAAGGCTTTCAAGGAAGGAAAATGGGGGAAAATTAAAATATGGCAGATGAAGTTTCGTGAATGGAAGTTAAATTGTAAGCACTTACATAAAGAGTCTGAGGAAAGGAGGCGGGGTAGGATGGAATTTTACTTATTGACTTTGAGGTTAAGCGTAGAATCCCAATAGTAGAAGTCGAACTTTATTCGAAAACTTGGTAAAGGATGTTTGAGCAGTAGGTGCGATTTGAGAGGGAAGAAGAGGGAAATGCGGTCTCTCCTCATGAGGAATTACCGCAGGTGGAGCTTTTGGTAGAGTAGCCTGCACCTTAGCCAGCAAATTCTGTGGAGTACTGTATAAAAAGCTGAATTTTGGCGAAAAGCGTAGGCATACTTTCGATAAGCAACTTTGAGGTTACGCATTGTGATGGCAGCGTCAGTAGAAGGAGAACCCGAAAAGTAAGACAATAATTGCAGAAATATTCAAAGAGTTTCTATTAGAAAAAGTTTTAGAAGATAATAAGTTTTCTTCTAGAAAACTCTATTGAAAACTGTTTAATTATTTCGTTCGTAATCTTCCCCCTCTATTCTCCGTAGGTAGGTAACTAATGGGGAAGAGGCTAGGGGCAGGGAAAGAGAAAAGCAAAATCCGCTTAAAACTTCAAACGCAGGAAAATTGCACACATGAAAGTGATATTTACGTTGTTCTGTACCAGTAGGGTGCGGGGAGCTGGGAAGAGGGAAGGAAGGGGGGAGGGGGAGGGAGGAGAGAGGAATGTACTTGGCATGAACAGAAAAAGCCTGGAGTGGAGTCAAGCAAGTTAGTGGCACGCTTCCGGAAAAGTTCTAGCATTGAGAGGATTTTGATGAAGCTAACGCAGCATGTGGCGTGCAGCTATTTGAGTCCAAGTCTGTTAAGGACTGTTGGAGTTTCTTATGACCTAAAGAGCTAGGGGCTAACTTACCACTCTTCAGTGCTTTCTACATAAAAATTTTGCGTGCCTGAAAGGCATTATGCTACATGGGGTTTGTATTCTGTACCGGTAGGGTACGGGGGGCTGGGAGGGGCCGGAGAGGGGGGGGGGGGATGGGACGAGGGTAGGGGTGGGGAAGAGAGGGAGAGGAAGGTACTATGACACGGATATAAAAGCCCTGGAGTGGATTCAAGCATTTAGTGGCACTTAATCCGAGTTAAGAAGATTGTAGCTCTACACGTATATACCTAAAGTTTTTATGCTATACTATTAGCTACAAAGAAATTTGAAGACAAAACTTCACAAGTTCTAGCCTTTGAACACTTCTCACTCCACACGCACAGCCAGTTCAAAGCGCCGCGAAGCGGCGCTTTGAACTGGTTTCTGATATTCATCAAAACTTTACCATTTGAAAAGCCTTGAAAAACTCGCGACGGTATGCAGTGATACAGCATGCATGAAAAGCATGTTACATAATTTTCCAGAATTTTCTAATTTTTTTCGAACGGCCTATTTCACAGTGGCGCCATATCCCGGTTACTACCTAGTACAGTAATGAAGGGGGATCGGTTATTCGCTCCACACTATAACTCCAAGTTGGAGCCAGCTCTACAAAATGGAACCTAAACTTTCTCGATAAATTTCACGAAAAAAGAATCATTAACAATCAAACAGTAGGCACATTTTTGGAGAAATCCTGTATAATGCGAAATAAACCTTTTCCACAACTTTTCGAGCAAACGTTTTCGGACATTTCTAATCTCAGTTTCACAAAAATCAACTCTTTGATACATCCTATCGGAAAAAAATTTCCCACAGTTTCAAAAAGAGAGCTGAACTCTTCTCCGTGGGCAAATTCAATTCTTTAAGACAAGAAGCTTACCACTTGTTCGATGTCCAGGTGTTTAGAGCTATCCGTGCGCTCTCTTCCTGCATGGATCAAACCGGATACCTTGTCGGTCATGTAGTCACCGAGGCAGAATCTTAACCAACAATGATTATATTCTGTGTTGGGGATCCTTGCTTTAATGGTTTTCACTTCAAATCCCTGCTAGGCTTGTAGCCGTCCTCCTCAACGTGAACACTCTGCTCCAGTTCGCTCTGCTCCAAATCGCTAACGTCAACGCGTTTCACGCGAGCACGTCGCGACTTCGGAGATGCCGCTGGAATTTAATGATTTGTTTAAAAAGGCACCAAGGTAATTTCATCGTATTCCAAAAACTTTAAGTGATCTTCTAGTCGTTCATCGTAATTACGACATCAAAATGCAAACTATTTGTTCAATGAAGGTGACAGAATTTGCTCCCGTGACACCCCTTTTCCTGCTGAATCGCAGAGAAGAGGACATATTTATGGCAAAAAAATCTGCATCGGAGAACTTCTGGGAAATAATTTGTAATTCTAAAAACGCTTTGATGAATTATTACATAGATATTAATGATAAGGAAAAAAGCGCGTTGAAATGAATGTGTGGGAAAAATTTGTCACAGATTTTTTGCTGAAACAAGAGCGTCAACTCATTAGACAATGCCCGCCTCTTCGCATTTCTAATTATGACACAGTGGGAGAAATTACGTTGGAAAAAATTAGTGAAAGTCTTTTGAGTCATCAGTTTTGGTCAATTATATTCGAACAAGGTAAAAAAAAACTACCTCGACGCATATAGCGACCGTAGTAAAAGGGAAACTCCTGAAGCATGGTATAACGGATCTTCGCTTTTTCAGGCTCTTCCACTGCTGGACAGCCATTTCTCTCCTCCTCCTCAAGAGCGAGCTTCGCTGCCAGCTCTCGTCGGGCACGACATCCGCGCTTCTTCTCTCGTTGAGGTGACAGCAGCGAGGAAAGCTGAATGACAGTTATATAAATCGCATATTATGTAAGAGCACCCTCTTTGTGGCATTTTGACTTACCGTAGCTCCATTTCCTTTGACGGTCCTGGACGTTACCTCCCCATCTTCTCCCATTTCATGAACAGCGAACACTTTGGTCGGGCCCCAGCGACAAACTAAATAAAGACTGACTCGTCAAAGTATTAGGTTGATGTAAAAATAATGTCCGTTTTTTGGACTATTTTCCGAACAATTTCTTTCCATCAAACTTTCTATTTCGATAAAGATTTTGCATATTGTTGGACAGCTTTCTTCATGTACTTTCAAGCAATGGTACAATTAGGCTCCCATCCTCATCTGTGAGAACTTTACCAGTATTTTGCGCACCCGACTCAAAATCGAAATTTTATTGCTTCCACTATCTTAGTCACAATTCAGGTACAGTCGAACGAACTTCTTTGAAAACATAGCATCTTTGGGGGATGAATATTGTTTGCCCACTGCATGTTTAAGTAGATTTTTCGAAAATATCTGGACTGAGAAATCGACGCCCCAAGATAAATACTTGCTGCTGGCATTCTACGGGTCAAAAACTTCCCAAGAATGAGACAATCGCCAAAGCTTCGCTCATTTCTGTAAGCTTGAGATTAGCACAACTTGCCTACAATTTTTGCAGGGAAGCTTAGCTATACAGTGCATGAAGAATTCCAGATTTTCATAATTTAGGACCAAACCTAATACGAACAAAATCAAAAAGGTGAACAATTTTGGACTTCTTTTCGCAGAACTCCTTCGTTGAAGTGTTTTTTGTACATGCATATACTACTGGCTTGCGACTACAAAAGAGCGATTATCAGCTATGGGAACAAAACTTGAAAGGAGTTGTAAGGTTTCGAAGACGAGGTCTTCAAAAGAGAATCTTTCGGTTTTTTGACGCATGGTTTTCTTCCCGTTGACACTATCAGTATGAGCACGTGTGCGCTAAGTTACGAAAGGCTCGGTGCTTCTAATGGTCTCGACTATATTCAAAAATATGAGGAATGAACTAATAAGTTTTCAAAGTGAAACTTTCCAAAACGGACATTATATTTGCATCAACCTTATAGAAGGAAAAATCGAGCTTCAGCAGCTACAGATACTTAATTTGAACATGTGTGATACTAAGAAATCAATTTAGCTCAGTGATCAGTGCATTTCTCGCTTTCTGTAACAAACAAGAGATATTTTTCTGGAAAATGCATGCTTCATATAGAACAGAACGACTTGTATTCAAAGAGCATAAGCGGCTGGTTTTCATAGAACGAACTGAACCTAACCTGGGCCGACGGGGCCACGCTCCACGACCTGACCGGATACTTCGCTGTCGTCGATGCCATCGAGAAGCGTAGCGGGATCTTGAGACCACCTGTTCTTCTTGTCCAAAGAGTACGCGAGACCAGGAAAATAGTTGTCGGCACACTTCTGCAGTATGCGAGCCTTGCGTCTCTGAAATATACTTCAGATTAAAGACAATAATTATAGCCCATTTTTTCTTAGGATGTGAGGAGTCTGTGTGAACAAGGCTGATGTGGAAAAAAAGACAGCGATTCCAATCTAGGTTCATCTGAAATTAGCTTATTTCGAATCTAAGATAGAGCAAATCCATAGCGATCGAGTGATAATTATCAGAATGGAAAAATGACACGAGAATGCTTAAACTTGGTCGGAAAGGCGGAAAATTCCTTCAACTCTTCAATGATAGAACTGATTTCTGCAATGGTTTTGTACGGCAGTAAAGCCCCACCATACACATAGTGAACCTTTAAAAGACCCCGAGATAATAATCTAAAAATCGTTATGAGCCTGCCGTAAATCGTTGATTGCCTGACATGCATCTGAAAGCGAGCTCCTGAAGCTCAGCTGCAGATTAGATTCGCGCTTACCGTCCCTAATGATCTCCTTGCGAACTCCAGCGAAATCTGAAGCCAATTACCTCCAAATATTGTGAAGTAGACCTTAGTGTAGAGCTTCTGTGCACTGTAAAACTGCTGACTTTTTGCACAAGACGAATATGTGCTAACGCGCCAAAAGTCTGGGATCCTAACTTTGCGCCACTGCAATTACAAAGATACTGATTGTTTTGATTTCAATTTCATGCCACATGATGTTGCGGTCATCCTCTACAAAATACACTTGATCCAGCTGGAAATGGCTGCCATATGTTTTTAAAATTGGAAAATACCAAACTAATAGTTTACAGAGCGAAAAAACCAGACTTTTTAGTATTTACAATCTTTGCTATAGCTAGAGATGCTGTTAATATTTTACAACACTTCGATGCACACAATATAGAAGAGGCTTTGCGCTACTGAATCTTAGTTTTGCTTTTGCCACGAGCTGTTCTTGCATAAACGGAAAACAAAAGCTTGCGAATATTACCTACGAGTCAATAGCCATCGGTCTTCGAAACAAATTTGAGAGCTATACAAGCGCAACAGGCACCGAGGCTAAGGCTATGTTCTTAACATGCGTCGCCATGAGAGATGGACTTGTTAAGATTTTGTAGGGCCGCGGAAGCCAAAGGAGGCAGTTTTGAAATTCAAGGGCTGAGCTGAATCTGCAATGGTTCGAATTGTGTGTGCGCCGACTTTTTCGTTTCTAGGTACTTCCCTTTTCATTTTGAATGAAAAAGTACTAGGCTAACAGACTTTTGACGCACCCTGTATAGGCGCATGGCATGATTAACCAGAATTTCTTTCCTGGGACCGGGGGGGGGCACTTCTTCAGATTCAGGAGTTGTGACCTTACAAACGCAACAATTTTGCGATGTTGCCACTGAAAGCGGTGGCCATACTCCCAAATTTTTCAAAAAATAATATTGTCTGTAGTAAGAAATAGCAATCTACCTGCACCAATGAGTTCCTTGACGGCTTTCGGGAATTCTATTTCTCCCCCTCCCCTGTTCATCCCCCACCCCACGATAAAGGAAGGTTATGAATCCTATGATTTCCAAAAGAAAATTTCATAATATTCGATTCTAAGATCTTCATCTGTAGAATACAGGAAGACAGATACGTCACAACAACCTATACGATTGCTGCTATACTTGCTTATGTTTGAATTTTCTTGTGGGCTACAACGATCGACCTATCGCCTAATTTCAGATAGCAAGGGGGAGAACTAATCAGGATTCAAATGTAGATAACAAAGGTATAAAACCCGACCTTTCCAAGAGCATTGGCAGGGTCATCAAGAACCTTCACAATGGACGACGGCGGAGCACCGCGAGCCACTGTCGAGTCGCACCGCTTGCCCTTCGTCCGCTTGCCTTCTCCTCCGCCCGGTTTAGAACAAAGAAACGGAAAGTCGATTTCACTGAAATTACAATTTCTGATGTTATGCGATAACGAAGAAAGTCTTCCTAAAAATACTGACATAGAGTGTCCCTGTGAGTTTGTAGATTATACCTTACTATACTGCTTTACATGTTTTAAAAGTTATCTGCGTACTTTGGTGATTCAACTTCAATATAATTTTTTTCATAGCGAAAGCAAAATATTTTCCGCAACTGAAGTTCAGGATACGCGCTGCAAAAAAAATTTTCTGTGCCGTACACTGAGACAGCTGCATAACATGTCTTCTTGGATGAAGCCGTTTATCTTCAATCTGGTAATTTAAAAGTAGAACGTCATCAAAAAAGTAAGTTAGCAACATCTGGGACAAAGACCCTTTGTGTCCTTTACTTAACAAACCCTTTGTGTCCATAACTTATCAATCAAGGACAAGTTATCGCTATAAAGCACTATTCTGCAGAAAAAAAATTTGTAATCCCACGTAAAGTATCGTAAAGTAAAACAAGCTCTGTTACACTTCCAGCGCCTAAAATGGCTATCATAGAGTGACTGATTACAATCGTTTTTGATTTATAATCATTTTAACACGGAGAAGAATACCGACGGTAGTTAACTTTGAAGCTGTAGGAAATATGCTCGAATTGGCAGCCCTTCTGATTACCCCAGACTTTTCTTTTGACCAACTCCTTGAACAACATTCGCTGATTCATCACTTTTACATTGGCTGTAATGGATAAGCTACTACCCTATTTTCAAGTGTATAAGCCGCACCCTTTTTGCTCTAAACGCGAGCAGACCCAGGCGTGCCGCCGCGCACATGTCTCGCGAAGCAGTTGCCTCATCGCATACTGCTCTCACTTAACGCGCTCCATGATGACAATCAGTCTTTTGGCGTGTTCGCTTTTAGAGCGAAAAGGGTGCGGCTTATACACCTGAAAATAGGGTAAAAGTAGCATAAACAAGCTCCCCCTCAGCGATTCGCACTCAAAACCCCGTGCACCTGACCACTGTGGTAGTATAGATTCTTAGCATACATGATGTAGTGTCTCAGATACCACATGCTTACAACTGCATTGTTCGTGTAAGTGGAACAGCAGCCGGATCTTGTTTCGTCCACTCCTTTATGGATGTACAGGCCCTATTGTATCGACGCATGAAAAGAAAGCTAATACAAAGATCATGGTTACGAATACGAGGATGTTCAATCATCGTAAATTAATTGTTAACTCTGATATATTCTCCACTTTGTCAACGCATCATGTGAGAAGAATTTTTGATTTCCAAATGACGCAAAGAAACTGAAAGAATTTGTGGAACAGCGTTAGAGTCTCAAGTATCCAACTGATGAAACTCAGACCATATAAGCTTTATGACTCAAAGGCTACCTTGCATTGATAAAACTTATTCATTTAGTTATGAAAGAGGATAACCCGATCTTATCGTCTGCTATTGACCGTGGCCAGTGGCGTACCGAGGGAGCGCCCCACTCCCCCCCCCCCCCCCCGAGAACAGGTCGCGAAATTTTTTAAGGTTACTTACATGAGTCATAAGAATGTGCAAGAGACTTAATTGTACCTGTAAGTCATTGAAATAATTTTTTGAATTTTTTAAAAATTCAATTTAGCTTTATTATTTCTTATTCAAATTGCACAAGCAAATACTGATCTACAAGTTACTAAATTCAAAAAAACTGAAGTAGGGTAACTTACGCTCATGTCGCCGACTATGAAACCACCGTTATAAATTTTATTATTCCCAACCACGATTTGTTCAGAGAGCATAAGCTATTTATACAGTATAAAAAAAATTCAAAATTTCAAAAAAATTTGCTTCGTTTTTTACAAAAAACGCATGGGAGAGCTACCTCAAATAACTTCGGCCTTCTCTTTCTAATGAAATTGTTTTCTCTGTCCTTGCTTTTTGCTTTTGTATCTTTCTCGTTGTGTCACATTCCCTTCAAAAAAGTGCACTGATTATCCGAAACTCGTGTTTCGCGGTTTCACTTGGTACTCTTGCGCATCACAAGTAAAATTGGAGCATCATGTGACTACATGTTCGGAAAATATTTTTCACAAAACAGAGCCGAACAGGATGTTTGGTCTGTGCACTTGGTAGATTCGCTATACTGAAAAATTCCTAGCGGATAAAAAACTTGGAAAGAAAGAAATAAAGTTAAAGAATTTCTTTACAAGTCAATTTGATAGTTTTATTGTGTTTGGATGATGCGGAGCATGCTGCCGGTCTTCAGTAAGTTCAAGAGATATGATAAGAAGCGAAATATACACGCCTTAGAGATCCTAGAAAATTGTAAACTTCATTTGGATTAGCACACGAGCAAAAAACATTCATGAGAGAAGTAAATAAGTACTGAGAATTGATGAGACTGTTATGAACTTGCACTGATCTCGAGCAACTTAATTTGTGTTCTTCATTCTTGTTCATTCTTCATAGATGATGAAAATGGTCTTTATTTGTTTCTGACTGGTTTTTCTAGGCGATTTATCACTAACCTCTAGTAAAGGTTCATAACAGCTAACCACAATCCTCATTTTTATGATTTTTCACAGTTACGTTGCCGAGTGTATAAGAAAAGTAAATGAATAAAACATCGGTGGTAATACTGTTGAATAAGTTCTACCGCAAATACCAACATTAAAGATTTTTCTTGACTCAAAATGATTCAAATGATACATTGCTGTGGTTGTTTTTTTTGTTGGCTTGAAATAAATTAAAACAAAAAACTGAGTGGGCTTATGATGGTTGTGGTGGAGATGGGAACAGGAACTCTGCTAAAGCTTATTTTATGCGATCCGAAACTTTTGTACTGTTAGTACGTTCATGCTACCATTCCGGACAGAGTGGTCGCATAACTATAATACTTTCCCCACATAAAGAAAATAAGATGCTCTTTGCATTCGTGGTTCAGCATGTGACATTTCACGATAACGACGTGCATATCCCGAGGAGCAAAGGGCCCTCAATAATTGATATTCCCAAATGAATCTGGTGAATTGAAAACTAAGAAAAATTTATGCAAACCGAGAAGAAGCCATGTGTGGGTTTTATTTGAGGTTTGAATGACGAAAAAATTAGGGGTACTAACTAAAGCAAAACCCCAAATCTTTCTTCTTGATAAGATTTTCCGTATTTATTACCCTGACCTTTGTACTGAAACCCCGGCCTTGAAAATGCCAATTCCGCTTGGACAGTTCCTTGTCTATGTGAACAATCGATCTGGAGCATTCAATCATGTACTGCTTGTTTACGGGACCCAGAACAACAGACGGGAGGCTTGTCAAGGTCGACAAGAACTGGTCTCACTTTTTCAAAAGCAAAACATGCGAGATGGCGCTATGAATGAAAAATGACCTGGCAGTAAGCATAACAAGACTTTCAGGCTTAGTTTGACATCAAAAGCAAAGCTAACCAAAAACCAAAGTAAAAAACGCTCTGGATAATTTCTAGAGCGGGTGCAAGGCCACATCCCAGAAGATTGAATGGGTTTTTGTCTCTTTAGAAAGACATGACTATGTTCAGGAAGATGTAAACAACATAGAGGTCTTCCAAATAAAAGCTTGCATGACAAATCAAACAAAAGCCCCAGCAAGTCATCGTGATCTTGTTTTATGACTCTATACGATATAGACTTTCCGCATATTTACGAATGTTACGTAGTAGCTACTACGGCTTGAAGATGTTTTGGTGAAAAGCCAACTCAAGGCCTTTCAAAATTGAAAAAGCAGCAATCCCAAATTGTCACTATTTCTGACTAAAAACTATGACTTTCGCCACCTGAGAAATAAACTGAAGAAATCTGCTAAATTTGCTCCCATAGGGAGTGATGGTAGTTAGAATGGAGACTGAGATAAACACAATTATTTACCCAAAAAGAATCCATAACCGAGAAGGACTCTTTGATCTGACGGAAAGATGGGCATTAAATTTACGATGAGAATATTTATTGAGAATAAAATAAAGGTCAGAGGTAATGTCCATATTGGGCAATTCAATAACTGCCATGTTTACATAGTATCTCATACCTCGTCGTTTCATCTTGGGGATGATTGTGCACAAATAAATCACTAAATCATTAGGTCGTAGCAAAAGTGAACCATTTCCAAAAACCTTTTGCTTCCTTTTTTTTCACAGCCACATCTAGCATTATGTGCTGTGAAGAAACACAGCATTTTCGGCTTCGGGGATGATATGGCGCAGTTATTGTTGAGTAAACATCACGTATTTTCGCATATTTTCTATTCTAAAACATAGGTAAATTTATCATAATGTAAAGATATCGTTGGGTTGCAAAAAAGTCAATAATTTGGTACAATTTGGCGTGATGCGCAGTTTTCCACGATTGGGAAAAGCAAAGTATGAGTTCATCTTTCACCAAAAAAGGTGAAAGGAAAGGGGAGGGGCAACGAAAACAAAAAAGACTGCAGCAAAAAAGTCAGAAACAGTTATAGAACAGCTATTCTCAGTTAATAACGCAAAAAGACAAAGAAAAATGTGAACATATAGGAACTCCCCTAGGAGTTTTCTTTTTTCGAAGAAGTCGATATTGAAAAAACGGTAAAAGCTTGAGTGAAACTGATTCTCAAGAAAAGCTGAGAGCTACTTACAATTCGCTACTGCTTGATGCACCATCGCGGACACGAACCATGTCTGTCCTGCTGTCAGCAACGGTGTTTGCCACGTCTAGCTTCTCTTATAAGCGCCGGCTTCATTGCACAATCGGCTGATATTAGACGGGGGTGATTGCGAAATATTCCACGAATTTGCAAGACCCCGACAGCGTGATATGACGAGAACAACAAGTAAATGTCGCTCAAAAGGGGAATTCCTGGTGTTGCAAAGATTTCCTAACCATATGAGTAGTTACATCGGCGCTCACAAGAAATAAGGTATTAGACCCTGCTGGAAAGTACGAAACTGCCCCGTTCTGAACACCCTCGAACATCTTATACTGAATGCAGACTATGAATTAGAAAAAGGGTTTATTAGCTATTCCCATCATTTCTTCTAACAAAAATTGGTTCTCCTGATCGCGGAAATTTGAGTCTCTACAACATACTGGGGATTCCAACAAGAAAAAAATGCAGCAGAGATATCAGATTATGGCTTTCTTCATACACTCTCCCTCCATAGAAAGAAACTTCTCTGCAGAAAATGAATAATCTTGCAATGCATATCGACAGTTTTGACAACATTAATTGGTGACCTAAAAGTTTTGATTCAACTTCTTGCAAATAAAGCAATAGCTGATCAAATAAGGCAAGGCGCTAACTATGCGGTCTATTAATTTCACTTGCCCTCTTTGTGGCCTTTCATAGACATTCTCGTGAAATCCTCGACTTTTGCTGTTGGATAAATATGATTAGTTCCGAAACGAATCTTCCAAATTTCGACAATGATACAATAAAGTGCTTCCTCTACGTTATATTTGCTATGAATATGCGGAACTTGGGCAAATCAACTGCGTGAAAAGTTATTAGATAGGTTGCGCAACCTTAGTAGCTCAAATGCGTGTAGAATTCTTTACTCATACGAAGGGAGGGGTGTGCAACAACTTCAAAATAGGAAATTTTATGACGCAGGTGATGGAAGGCGACATTTATGGTACCGTGATATTTAACTACCAGTGATAAAGGAAGACAGCTTATCGTTCCTATTTAATACTGAATAACTGCTCAATAATTTCTCACAAAAGAACACGTGCAACAGAAACTCTAATTTTTTGCCGATCTAAAAATTTAATTTTTTGTAGATCTAAGTATCTTCTGATTTGCATAAAGCAGGTGCATGTACTTCGATGGATTACATAAAAGATTAACCATAATAACATAGTTCTAGGTTAATCTATCTAATTGGAATACCACTCCTACTTTTCCTGCTGTGTACTTTTTTGGATACTGAGAGCCCGAGCTCCGAGACTATTCACCTAAACTGAGCATTGCTTTCTATTTTGTATATCGTACGTTCCTTTCAGAATGGCAATGGTTTTCTGAAGCTGATATTTCTACGCGAATGCGCACAATCAAAACGAGCTCAAAAGATAGATCTATGAGATCCACAGTCAACTTGTTATAATATACTGTCACACATGGGCCAACTATTCTTCCTTTTATAGACAAACCGATACGATGTCCGCCTCATTTTACCACCTGATCCAAAGCCGTAATACTGCCATAACCGGCTGTTATATGTGCTAACGATCGTTTTTGGCGGACTTGCTGCAGTAAAGTTTGACGTCACCGACGTGCTGCACCTTCGGCCAGTGCTTTTTCTCTTTTTCATAGTCACCGTAACACAATCAAAGCGATAGAACAAGCAAGTGCTTACTTGAGATTGTTGACATAGTCCTGCGAGGCGGCGGCTGGCATCAGACAAGCAGACGTTAGGGCAAGAATCGACCAGCGACTCTGAAGAGATGAAATCTTGGCTCGTAAGTGCCCTTACTGCGTCTTTATAGACAAAACAAAATGCGCTTCGAAGAGAAAAACAGCAAAAGAAGCAAGAAAGTTGCGTAAGAGGATGACATGAGGCTGAAGAGGAAGAAATCTCTGCTAAGCAATTCAGCATGGCGGATAACGAAGACAAAGGCGGAATAATTTTGAAAAGGATCCGTGAATGGTTTCGTGCGGTAATTTGCGGTTCACACAGCATAACCTCCATTTTATGTGAACAACGTTCCAATTAGGTATACGGCACATTCATCATCGGGGTCAACGTCCTGGTGGTGGTTAATAGAGTTGGCCTATGAGCTGGATGGATTTATGCTGTTTTTGAAAAAAAACACAAAGGAACCTGACAGGGGCGTAATCGTAGTTATATGTGTTTCGATTCGAAGAAAGAATTGTTGTTTGTGACAGCTATGTTCATAACAATATTGGCTAATCACAAATATGTGGAATTTCATTTCGTTAAAGTGGAAGAGAGCACTTACAGAGAGATATTTGAATCTGCCGAATATGGTTTCAGCCAGCTCCTGTATCACTGCCTATTTTATTTCCAAAAATAGCAAGATTCAGTCACTGTTTCCGACTTCTGCTGATAGCGATAAATATGAAAATGATGTTCCAACGCAATTTTATCTGAACTTGGAGCCCAGCTACACTCTTACCGGTAGCGGAATACGATAGCAAAGCATCTACATATACACTATTTAGTTGAAATCCAAAGGTTGTTCTCCAGAACTTCGGTAAATTCGACCTGCTTCAACGAATCTGAAAAATCATTGAATGCTTTGCGCAAAAGTTGCTCGAACTCTTGTATATTATTCAGAAAGCCAGAACCTCAAGTTGCCGCAAATCCCTAAAACTTCTACCGAAAAAGTTTTCGTGCAAATTTCTAATCAGATTAGACAGTCGCGTCAGTGTAAACAAAACCATTTCCGGAATCAAGAGAACATATTCTGATAAAGCTAGATTGGAGGTAGTGAGTGCAGTGACGCTCTCGTGGATTTCTGAGCATTACTTCAAACTTCTAACACCGACAACTTTGGCATGATATAGATGGCACGACAGAACTATCGCAACCTTTTTTTCCAAGCCGGGGGCTGAACTGTATGCTACACCTTCGCGGGGTAACAGTACATCGAATTACGATTATGCAGATGGGGTGGCAATCCGCCAGAAGAAATAAAATGAGTATGACTTGCTCATGAACGACTGAAAACAAAGCAGTTCGAACCGCTGGCGTGAGGGGAAATGACGAGAACGAGAACAGAGGAAGACCGATGTGTTTACGCGAGGTGCCCTCGAAAGTGCAGAAGAACTTTTTGTGCCGCGAATGCGATCGCAGTGCCAAAAGCTGGCCATACATCAATTGGCAGCCTTTTCTAGCAGAGTACTGCCCTTTTGCACAGAAACTAGCACAAATCGACGATCAGCCAGCGAAAATTTCACTGACAGAGCCGTGGATGACCGTGACTAGCGTAGCAGCCCTCGAAAACAACCATAATTAGATTTCACGGGCAGCAAAGTGCAAACCTAACGGCGGAGCAAGAAATGAACGAGTGAAATGCGGAAGAAGGTGAATGTGCGATAGGGCCTTCGACCAAAGAACTTTATGTTCGTTGCACGAAGAACAAAGATTTGTAGGGTTTATACGGACATTATTGAATATTTTCGGCCCCGACTGCCTGCCGATTCGTGAAGAGGATCAAATTTCATTTACAAACATGAACCTTTTAACATTCAATTCCTCGCGCGTCTAACTGAGGTTCTTTTCTTGAAACTGCATAATCTAAATCAAATTTCTTTGAAATTGAGCAAGGAAACTGTTGGGGGCTGAGCTGCACAATAGGGAGGGAGTGAGGGTCAAAGCAGACCGAGTTACCTGCACCCGCCCTCGCCACAGTCACTTGCGTTTTCACCGTAGAAAAAGGAAAAGTGTCATCTTTCGTGGAAATCAGATCAGGTATATAGAAAATCATGGAAGGAGAAATGTCATGGTGGATAATTTGCAAAAAAATTGAAGAGCGCTCCTAAACCATCTCGAAAATGGCTAAGGTAACGCTCATTCGAGAATTTTCTTTTGCCTCCTCACCCCAAAAAAATTTTCTAAACGTCGCTACCTAAATTATGGAGACGACTTTCGTAGATTACCTTTGTCTTTTGTAGTGTGTAAACTCAAACATATTAAACATCGCATTAACTAAATCAAAACTGCGGAAAAAATTTAGTGCAGCAGCTTTCAAGTTCAGCAATAGGCGCTACTGCTTGACTTACAAGATAAAAAATAGTAGTTTTTCCTGAACAAAAACGAAGCAAACCCAAAAACTATACAGAACCTGAATGAATCTGCAATAAACAGTGTCAAACTGATCAAAACTCAAAAAATGCTCAATAAACGCTGACCGTGGCTCTCTTAAAGTATTACATTGGAAACTGATAGACTGGTTAGTTGATGTGATAGAAAGCCTTGCGTTAGGGACCCGCCATACTTCCCCGAAAGAATCCCGAACAACAAGAAGCCAAAAAAGCCCAAAAGCGCCCGAAAAAAACCCAGGAAAGCCCAATAGCGCCAGGAAAAGCCGGAACGTCCGTGTCGGCGCTGAGACAGCCTCAGCACCGGCAAAATGGGTGATGATCGAAGTTCCCATTACTTCAGGTAGCGTTGTTTAGTCCACAGGTCGGGAGGCGTTCCGCCTCCCTTTCTGGCTTTTGGGCTTTCTTGAGAGCTTTTGAGCTTTTTCTCTGGCGAAATATGACGTGCCCCTTATTGCTGCATCTCATTTTCACATTATTCAAAATTCAACATTTCCCGCACTTCCGGACCAAAAGCTCAGTTTTTACTGGAGGCAGTGAATAGGAAAAATGCTAGCTATCGAATAGCCAGTCTGCATGACATCACTACTGAATTTGCTTACCTTGTAAAAATGCAGCCTCGAAAGGCAATGGCCGAAATGAATTATTCATTGATTCGCTGCAAATTTCGCCCTGCACGCATGTCCAGATGCTCTCGTCGAAACAATGAGACATAAACGTACGTTGTCTCAAATTGTATATATCGACTAACAAGCCCCGAGAAGAAGATCGCCGTGGACTTCGGTCTAAACCTCACTCGACTGCTTTACGCCTGAGAGGCTGGATTTCACCTCAGAGAGATCCCTGGCGCTTTTGCGAGCATAACTTCGTTGTAACAGAGGCAGAAAATTTCTCGATGATGCCTTCATCACGCTTGGGAGAGAGCGTTGAGTGGATGTCGAGTTTGTGGTCGTGTTGACAAAAACTTTCTGTCGATTTTTTTCTATCCTAAAAAATCGAATCGACCTTTATCACGAGAGGAAAAATAGCGCAGAGAAAACAGTCATTTTTTGGAGCGAGTTTGAGGCGGAAAAGGTCGTCCAAACAAGAAGAATGGCAGTTTGATAACCACAGCTCACATCTGAATTCAGTTATTATCCGAGGAAGAATTGTGACAAAAATTTGAGGTTAAGAGGGGCGAACTAATTGCCAAATTGAAACGTTGATTTTCTGAATTCTACCTTGATTCACAACCGTAAGCCCTTTCGGTACATTCCCGTGTATCAAATCTCGAAAAAATAATAAGCTCTTGTGATTATGGGCTTAGTGATGTAAACGCACTTTCCCTGACAATATCAGCCCTTATGTTTCTGATAGTCTAAAACAAGAAATCATCAAAGAAGATAGATTGTCCATTAGCTGCGTCATGCACAGAGAACAAAGAAGTTATGATAGCTATTATACGCGTTGTTTATCGCTTAATGTCTACAGATACGTGATATTCAATAACAAACTACGCTTTATTGGCTCAAAGAAGCTGAAAGAAAGAATTATTCGTCATGGAGTAATGACAATAACCCGACAGCTTATGTCCGGTGGATTAATTTACAAACCAACAAAGATTCGGTTCTATTCACCATGTATAGTGTCAATTAATGATTATTCTTCCCAACAAATCGGGTAGAGATTCCTATAATCACATGACAGGTGCAATAAGTGCAATAAGCGAGAATCAGAATTATCTACGACCTAGGCTAAGAAAGTTCCAGACTATAATAAGAGGCTGTTCTTACACATGTTGATGGCGCAAATTCACAAAGATTTTGACAGTCTTTCGTATTTTCTTCCCTGTCAATGACCCTAAGGGCTACTCGAGATGGCTAAAATGCAAAAAACGAAGTCCCCCTTGACTTTCCCAAAATTTTGCGAAGTCCTCTTCAACCCCAAACCATAAACGTAAAAAACCCTTAAAAACGTGGACTAAAAAAACGTAATTTTTCGGCCACAACGATATCCCGAATTCCAAGATTAAATATGCAGGTATGTATGCTTCCAACAGTGCATCTACAGTGTTCAAGCTCATTTAAAGCCATAACATGGTTTTTTTATATAACACCCAGCCTTAATAAAAAACTAACATTAGACTTCTCTCGTGATAGCTCGGAATCAGTACTGCTCCTATGAAAATATTGTCGACAAAAATTGTTTTTTGATCACCGAAAAATCGTTTTGTTACTCGTCGAGAGTGGATAAACGGGTATACCCATGGTAGTACCCATGCGACCTACATAATTCAGCTGTTGACGTAAAGTATTAGCATTTGCTATTTTACCTCTTTAATTCATTTCACACGGATCGAGGACGAGTAGAACTACAAGTTCATTTCTGATTCGACTAATTTCAAATAACACTCCTCACAACAACAAATGCCCACATTCAGAAGAGAGAGCTTGGGATTTACTGAATGTTTTCTTGTTGCTTGGTCTTCTCAATTTGTGCATGACTATCACTTCCTACACAAAATGGTCTCTGCAACAGTTTTTGCACCTAACAGCTGATTAGCTCTAATTACAGCTGGTCTGCAGATTTTCGTCCTTGCACGAACTGTGACCGAATAGGTGCAAAAAGTCAGAGCAGAGGTGAGATTTACAGAAAAGCACGATTGGGACAGCG